TTGGCTGCCCCGGGGTCTCTAAGAGATAGGAAGGTTGATTAGAGTGGATCCTAGTGAGCTCGGGTGCAGGTAAAAAGATAGAACGAGAGGTTTTACCTATGAGCCATCGAATACTATTCCATTCTATGGAAATCCAACCCGCGGGGATGAAGTATTGTTGATCCAAAAGGCTAGGACCTACCACGGGTTGCTTGCTAGCCTCAACAAAACCCTCCTTGACCGCTAAGTGTGTAAGAAGGCCACCAAGAACTATAGGAATTTGAGTGCGTTCGCCATTGGCCTTGAGGGTGGTGAAAGTACAACTTTGTTTCCTAAGGTGAAGGCAAAAAGGTGGGCTATGTTTATGGTATAAGCATGTTCGGCGGGCTGTGTTCTCAGTGACTACCCAAAATTGCCGCCTCATCAACTCTCACATTATGGGGCTTTATCCTCCCAAAAATGGTCCACCCCGTAGTACAGGTCCAAACCCTAAGGGCGGGTTGGTGAATTTTGTTAGCGGAAGCATGTTGCCAAGAGTCTATTTGTTCTCCTGTTAAGGCTAGCCAAAGATCCCCTGAAATTAAATGGTCCGGTTGAGATTGTAGACCATGTGATGGAAACCCAAATTTTCTGGCAAACCCATCCAAAGTGAGTCTATGGTTATTGTTTAACAACCTATAGGAAACATATGTTACCAACCCATTCCTCCCCTTTTCAATTCCAAAAGAGCTCAAAAATTCAAGGGTAAGATCTTCATAAGTGTTATGAACCATGTTGAATAATTGAGTCATACCAAGTTTTGAAAATAAAAGCTTACATTCATCATTAATTCCTAACTTAGCAAGAAAAGCATGATCAATAAAACGGGTAGGAATTTCCTTCTGATGCATAAGCTCCAAAAACCTAACCTTTTGGTTTGGAAATTGCCTCACGAACTTGATATCTGGAAATTCCGGCACACTCTTGAGGTCCAAGGCCAGTTCTTGAATTGCAATCCTACTCCTCTTCCTTGTAGCCATTGATGAATATTCAAGCTTTCTCTCTCTAGAAAAATATATGGGTATGGTGGGAAATTGGTAGAGAAAGATAAAAAGGATGATGGAAAAGAAGTTAATGATGGGTAAAGATGTGAATTTGAGATGAATTGGTAGTAATTGATGAAAAAAATTGGGTTAGGGTTAGGGTTAGGGTTAGGGTTTGGGAATTGGGGATTATTTTTAGAGAGAGAGTGTGAAACTGGTGGATGAGAAAAGAAATAGAAAGAGAAGAGGAAGAAGGAGGGGGGCGACGGTATTGGGGTTTCGATTTTTTTTTCGAAACCTGCTGGGTGGCTGCTTCTCGCGCCCAGTAGGGCAGACCTACCCGAGCGGGAATTTTTTTTTTGAGCTGGGTGGAATTGCGGCTCGTGCCCGGTCTAACAACCTTGCCCAGGCTGACCTGGCGGAGGGGGTTTCGGCCTTCTTCCATTCTTCTCCTTTTTTTTCTTTTTCTTTTCTCGATGGTTCTCGCGCTCGGTGGGGCAACGTTGCCCGGGCTGACCGGGCAGAGGGAGGTCGAGATTTCTCTCCTCCTTTTCTCTTGCTGCTTCTTGCGCCCGGTAGGTCAGCTTTGCCCGGGCTGCCAGGGCGGTGAGAGCTTCTTCGCTTTTCTCACAAATTCCTTAACTTTTTACCTACACAAAAATTATTAACGATGAGTGTTGCTCGATAAATCTCTTAACATTATCTTAAAAAAAGGAAAACTAAGGAAAGAAAATGAAAATAAAAAAATAAAATAAAGACGGGTTGCCTCCCGTAAGCGCTTGTTTATATGGTTAAAAGCTCGACCACCTTTTTGCTCAACTTTCTTTTGTCGGATTTGAGAGTGAGCTATCTACTCTCTTATCGATTGGATCACCAACTCGGTAGTGTTTTAGTCTCTGGCCATTCACCTTAAAAGTACCACCATTTTTGTTCCATAATTCAATAGTGCCATGGGTAGACTTTGCAAACCTTGAATGGACCTGACCACCTAGAACGAAGCTTACCGGAGAATAGCTTCAATGTTGAGTTGAATAAAAGGACTTGATCTCCTTCCTTGAATTCTCTTCTCACGAGACCCTTGTCATGCCATCTTTTTATTCTTTCCTTGTACAACTTTGAACTCTCATAAGCTTCAAGGCGAAGCTCATCTAGCTCATTTAACTGTAATAATATCTTTTCACCCGCTTCTTGAGCATCGAAATTTAAACTCTTGATGGCCCAAAATGCTCGGTGTTCTAGCTCGATGGGTAAGTGACATGCCTTTCCATACACCAATCTATATGGAGTGGTACCCATTGGCGTTTTGAATGTCGTTCGATATGCCCATAACGCATCATCGATCTTAACCGACCAATCCTTCCTTGTTCTAGCGACTGTTTTCTCCAAAATAGATTTTTTTTCTCGGTTGGACACCTTAGCTTGACCGCTAGTTTGTGGGTGATAGCCAATTCCAACCTTGTGTTGCACTCCATAATTTTTCAACATTGCTTCAAACCGAATCTCCAAGAAATGTGTTCCCCTGTCACTAATTAACACACGTGGTAAACCAAAACGAGGAAAAATAACTTTCTTAAAGAACTTACTTACCACCCGAGCATCATTGGTTGGAGTAGCAATTGCTTCAACCCACTTTGAAACATAGTCAACGGCTACTAGAATATATCGATTACCATAGGAAGAAGGGAATGGTCCAATGAAATCTACCCCCCACATGTCAAACAACTCGACCTCGAGTATGTTATTGAGTGGCATCTCGTGCTTCCTTGAAATAGCACCAGTCCGTTGACAACAGTCACATGCCTTAACATATGCATAGACGTCTTTGAAAAAAGTTGGCCAATAGAAACCACATTGTAAAATCTTCGCGGTCGCTTTTGTAGGACCTGCATGTCCACCACACGATAAGTCATGGCAATGAGAAATAATATGGTTTACCTCACCTTCCGGGACACGTCTTCGAAATTGCATCCGCACATAATTTGTATAAGAATGGATCCTCCAAGAAATGTCTGTTTCCCTCATAAAATAATTTCTTCATTTGTTTAGATGAGTAGCCATGAGGCAATGTACCTGTGGATAAAAAAATTAGCTTAATCAGCATACCAAGGTGATTCAATTTAAGAAAGTGCTAATAAATGTTCATTAGGGAAAGAATCATCAATGAGAGGTCATCTCCACCCCCTTTATCAAGAAGGAGGCGAGAAAGATGGTCTGCAACGACATTCTCAGTCCCTTTTGTATCCCTTATCTAGATGTCATAATCTTGCAACATAAGGACCCATCTAATCAACCGCGGCTTGGCGTGACTCTTAGTCATCAAATATTTCAATGCAGCGTGATCTGTGTGGATTATCACCTTTGAACCAACAAGGTATGAGTGAAACTTCTCTATTGCATAAATTACTGCTAGCATCTCTTTTTCAGTTGTGGCACAATTCATTTGAGCAGAATCAAGAGTTTTACTAGAGTAATAAATAGCTTGAAGTTTCCTATCCTTCTGTTTCCCCAAGACGGCCCCTATCGCATAGTCACTAGCATCACACATAATTTCAAATGGTAGGGTCCAATCCGGGGGTTGCATAATGTAAGCGGAGATCAAAGCTTCCTTAAACATATTAAAAGCCTCAAGAGAAGCATCAGTAAATACAAATGGGGCATCTTTGGCCAAAATCTCAGTTAGAGGTCTAGCGATTTTCGAAAAATCTTTAATAAATCGCCTATAAAATCCTGCATGACCAAGAAAGCTCTGAATTCCTTTTACAGAATTAGGAGGGGGTAGTCGCTCAATGACCTTTATCTTTGCTTTATCAACCTCAATACCCTTATTTGACACCACATGGCCTAGAACAACTCCTTGTTATACCATAAATGACATTTTTCCTAGTTTAAAATTAAATTGACTTCTTTACATCTATGAAGCACCTTTTCCAAATTTTTAAGAAATACATCAAAAGATGTTCCATAGACAGAGAAGTCATCCATAAAAACTTCCATTGAATTTTCAATAAGACTTGAGAAAATTGCCATCATACAACGTTGAAACGTGGCTGGAGCATTACATAATCCAAATGGCATTCTTCGATAGGTGAAGGTGCCATAGGGACATGTGAAATTAGTCTTTTCCTGATCGCATGGACGAATGGGAATTTGAAAGAAACCAGAGTATCCATCCAAGTATCAGAAAAAGGAATGCTTAGCCAAACGTTCAAGCATCTGATCAATAAAGGGAAGGGGAAAATGGTCCTTCTGGGTGGCCTTATTCAATCTCCTATAATCAATACACATTTGCCAACCAGTAACAGTTCTAGTGGCGATTGGCTCACCCTTTTCCTTCTTGACAACAGTCATACCTCCTTTCTTTGGAACTACTTGTATAGGGTTAACCCACTTACAATCTGAGATAGGGTAAATTATTCCTGAAGCAAGCAATTTAAGAACCTCTGTTTTAACTAGCTCCATCATGTTTGGATTAATTCGTCTTTGAGGTTCTATGGAGGAGGTCTGATTGTCCTCAAGAATTATCTTATGCATACATAATGAGGGATTAATACCCTTAATATCATCAATGGTGTACCCAATAACACTTTTGTATTTTCTCAAAACAGTGAGCAGTTGCTCTTATTTTGTGTTATTAAGCTCAGCATTAACAATAACAGGATATGAGTTATTAGGACCAAGATATGCATATTTAAGAGTATAGGGGAGGGGTTTCAACTCTACCTCGGGAGGCGTAGTACTCTCCCCAACACTTGATACACGAAGGACTTCCTTCACGAGAGCGGTGGTTGGATTCGCTTTTCCTTCCTCAAGTAGCCGCGTGTACTCCCTTGTTTCCCACTCTTCCTCATTGGTGCCTCCTACCAACACCATTTCCAATGCATCGTCTGTCTTGATTAAGGGAAGTTTCTTACGTTCTAAGTCATCAAGGACATCCACTTGGCATATAGTTTCTCCCATGGAAGGAGTTCCCATAGCATTCAAGAGTGAATAATCCATTTTCTAGTCTCCCACCTCAAAAGTGATTCTTCCATTCATCATATCAATGATTGCACCTGCAGTGGCTAAGAATGGTCTACCAAGTATAATAGGGACATGTGCATCCTCCTCCATTTCTATCACAACAAAATCACATGGGATAAAGAATTTTCCCACACGAAGAGGAAAATCTTCAAGTATACCCAAGGGAAACTTCACCGACCTATCCGGAAGTAGTAGAGACATGCGCGTAGGCTTTAATTCACCCATTTGAAGTTTCTTGCAAATAGAGAGCGGCATGAGACTCACACTTGCACCAAGATCACATAATGCCTTGTTGATATCTATATCCCCAAGCTTCACTGGAATTGAGTAGCTAACTGGATCACCTAATTTCTTAGGAAGTGTATTTTACAAAATAGCACTACACTCTGCATTCAACACAACAATAGCATTATCCTCTAGCTTCTTCTTGTTAGAGAGCATATCCTTCAAAAATTTTGCATAAGATGATATGGCATCTCGGATATTGCATCTAAGAATGGAATGTTGATGTGAAGCTTCTTCAAAATATCAAGAAATTTTCCATACTTCTTCTCTAGTTTAGCTTGATCCAACCTTTGCGGGAAAGGAACTTGCGGCACATACGGAATAAGTGGTGGTGGAGTTGATTCCTTTGGCTCTTCCTCAATCGTAGTACCATCGACCACCTTATCTTTTGGGACTACCTCATCCATAACCTCCTTGGATGGCTCCCTCGTGGGAGGATATTCCAACTGCTTTCCACTCCTCAAAGTCACAGCATTCATATGCCCCTTCGGTGGTTTCTCAGTTTGACCTAGAAAAGCGCCCGGAGTCTTCACAGATTGGCCAACTTGATGAGCAAGTTGACTTATTTGATTTTCCATGAGCTTATTCCTAGCTTGTAGTTGTTGGATGTTGTTGTTCGTTGTGGTAACGAAGTTCTCAAGCATTAACTCAAAGTTGGATTTTTGTGGAGGTGGTTGCATAAGTTGTTAGACTAGAGGTGGTTTTGCTTGGAAACCAGGTGGTGCATTATAATTTTTGTTTCGAGGTGGTGGTGGAGGTGGATTTTGTTGAGCTTGGGTATTCATGTAAGAGAAATTTGAATGATGTTTCCAACCTCCATTGTATGTGTTTAAATGAGGATCATATGACCTTTTAGGATTTGAAGTGTAGAATGCATTGGCTTCCTCAATCGACATCTCATGTGAACTTTGTGGACAATCAGGTGCAATGTGACCTTGTACATGACACATTTGACAAGTTTCAGCAGATGAGCTAGAAGATGTTGCTTGGAACTTGTCAAACTTACTTGTCAATGCCTGCATAGAGCTAGTTAAAAGGGTTAGAGCATCAACTTCATGCATATCTCCCTTTTAACATTACGTCGTCCTCCTGGATGGTAATTATCATTTGCCGCCATCTTCTCAATTAGCTCCTTTGCCTCAGTCGGTTTCTTAGTCAGAAGAGAACCCCCATATGCAGCATCAATATAGATTCGGAACTTATGAGTCAAACCATTGTAAAAGGTTTGGATCAACATCTATTCAAGAATACCATGGTGAGGGAATTGTCTTTGTAATCGCTTGAACCTCCTACATGCTTCATATAAGGACTCATCATCTGACTGCCCGAAAGTAGATAGCTCATTTCTCAACCTTGCAGTCTTTTCCTGTCCTAAGGACTTGACTAGAAAAGCTTTCACCATGTTGTCCCATGTGTCAAAAGAGCCAGTACCTTCATCTTTTAACCATTCCTTCGCTCTATCCCGTAATGAGAAGGGGAAAAGGCGAAGTGTAATAGCATCATCTATAACACCATTTAGTTTCATAGTATCACACTTTTCCAAGAAACTATCAATGAGACTGACAGGGCATTCGTGAGGTATGTCTGCAAATGAATCATTAGAGATGAATTGAATGAACTGTGGCTTCAATTCAAAGTTCTGAGCAGTAACGGGTGGTCAGACAAAGATGGAGAGGAGTCCCGTTGTGGTATCGGGAATGCCATATTCCAAAAGAGACTTTGTTCCTAGATCAACCATGTTTCTAAGGTTTTGATTTCTCCTTCTTCTACCTCCTCGTCTCCTTGTAGTTGCTTCAATTTCAGAATCAAGAGGAATTAAATCGTCTGACCATGAACGTCAAGTTTTCATGCAACAAAGAACTAAAAGCAAAGAAATCAAGAACACAAGAGACAATAGCCGAAGCAACAGATAAAGATTAGTAAAAACGAATCATAAATATCTAGTATAAAACCGTTAGTCCCCGGCAACGACGCCAAAATTTGATAGGCGTGTTGCGTACCTAACAAAAATAAACCTAACTAGACCACTACTATGTAGACAGGCAAGCAAGGGTCGGATCCCAAGAAACTATGGTTCAACTAGTTAAATAGACTCAAGTAATTACTAAACAAGTAGCCAAATCAAATAAATGAGAATCAATAACGAAAGAACTAATTAAAATGATTAAATCAAAGCAAAATGACAATTTTAATGCTAAAAACATCCAAGATCAAGCATCACCACGAATACAATCAATGCAATAGTTGTTTTACCCCTAACGCATAATTCAATTGATTAATGAGGAAAAGTAATTCATGAATAATACAAATGGTCTCTACCGAGTTATCAATGACTTCTCTAACCAAAATCAAGCATACTTCCGTGGAATCAAGTAAATTAAAGACCATGAGCACATTACTCTAACTTCCTAGTCATCTATTCAACTACTCCCGTGACGAACTTCAAACCCTTTATTGATTTATTTAAATCTGTCAAAACCCAACTCCCGTTGCGATTAAAATAAAATATTAATAACAATACCAATTATCCCTAATATAGTATTGGCATAAACATAATCAATTAAGCATATCAATTACAATTATTATTAGAGAATTTAAAGAATTAAATCATGCATTAATCATATTCGGGTTCCGCTAGATCTTGGAATAAAGAAACTACTTACACATATTAACGAATGCAAAAACAATATTCAATGAAGAAAACATGATTAATAAGCAATTAAAAGTAAAAGAAGAAATAAAGATGAATACCAATTGCTTGAATGAAGAAGAGTACCAATTGTTGGTGAACAAAGATCAAAACTTGAAAGTAAAATGAAATCTAGATCTAGAGAGAATATTAGGGTTCTAATAGTGTTTAAAAACTGCAAAGATAATAACTAAGTGTTTTAGTCGGGCTTTACAAAGGATATTTATATCCTATAATTAAGAAAATCCCGAAAAAAAATAGGAAAACGGCTCTGCGAAACCGTGCCCGGTCAGACCAGGAAAAGCCGCTCGGTCGGGCGCAAGAGACAAAATCTCCCAAGCGCTTCTTCACGTAACCTCCAGGTGTAGTACCTCGTTTTCCCGGTCTGGCAGGGAAATGTTTCCCTCCAGGGCGGACAAAAGCTAAACTCTCCATCCAATGCTCTTCTCTTCCTTCCTTCGCTCTGGCTGCCAGGGCAATGTTTCCCTCTAGGGTGGACACGAGAAAACTCTCCTCTATCTTAATAGGCTCTCGTGGCTATTTAAAACAAGACCAAATCATCCGAAATTCTTCATATGCCTACAAAATAAATCAAATAGACCAAGCCACACTAGAGAAGAGAATATTAGCGAGAAATAGCTCCGTAGAGCTCAGAAACCATACAAAAATAGCTATAAAATGAGGGTAAAATATGGTACAGAACGTGTACATTAATTATGATATAGAAATCATGTTTAGGGTGTTTTGATCTTCCTAGTATCATATTTAGGGTAACAACTAAAATTTCTAATATCAAATATGATAATTGTGATTCCTGCGATGCTTCCTTTTCTTTCTTGATATTCATATTAGTATTATGGTAGGGCTAAAGCTTTTATCTTATATTGGTTAGTAACATGCTAGTGTTTGTTATTAATCTTGTTAGTATCATGCCTAGGATCTTGCTCTTATTATGCTTTAACATGATTATTATCATTATTATTATTATGTTGCTTGATGATTATTGTTATTTCTTGATCACACCTTTTATGCATGTTTAAAGGGAATTTGTACTTATAATCACGCTTAATAAGATAATTAATAATCTTGTTTAGGGTTAATGTGATTATAATTCAAGTGATCGTCAATAATAGTTTTGTTTGTGCATTAATATTCAACCAACATAGATTAAATAGATTTAGGGTTAATCATATTGATTGCATGTTAGTCAGAAAGCGCACATGAATACGATCAGAATAAAGTAGAGGCCTATTATTAGGGTAGGTTCAATCTCTTTTAGGTTGGATTTGTACCTTCATCCCCAAACTACCAGTCATGGTTCCAGACCTATTGGAGTTAATAATCTCTGGGATCGTTAAGGGCTGTAACCTTCACCGTGTGAACGGTTTACAAGTTCCTAAAACTTGTTGGTGACTCTTTTGCTCTATCTTCTTTCCCTTTGGACGCCGCCATGCTTAAGTGTATAATCACAGTGGGGTTCAAGTCTGGGGTAATGCTTGACATATTCCCAACAGTTTTTGGCGACTCTACTGGGGAGGATTTCTATTTTAATTCCTAAAATTTATTTTGGCAATGACTTAGAATGAGTGGTTGAGACTCGAAAAGTTCTAAGTATTTCATTTGTGTAATTTTGATTAACATTATTGTTATATGCATAAAAAAAAATCTCATTGAAAAGACCATCAGTAATGAGTTAAAAACATAGGATTTTTACACTTAGGAAATTTGACGAATATCCTTCACAACTAGGATCGAAATAATGCTGCGTGAAACTGGAAAATTTTATCGAGCACAGAAAGCTGCCGAGGCATGAAGAAACTGGTGTCAGAAAACAGAGTCTGTCACCAACGATTTGACTCTGTTACCAGGCGACACTCTTGTCGCCAGGAGAAAGAACAAAATTGCGGCGACGACCTCTGTTCGCTGGCGCCAAGTTCTTCCAATGACGAGCCAAAAATATACGTTCTAATTTGAACCAGTTTTAAGCACTGTTTGCTCAATCCTACTTCCTGATTGAGTTTTTCTCACTTTTCTGAATTCCATATGTGTTTTACATATGGACATAACCCTTTGGGAATTCATGCTCTATCTACCTGATTGAATGCTCTGTGCAACAAAGGGTACATCCGAGAATGTTGAATTCACCAAACCATGGAAGCGAGTTTTTAACTCGCGGTGTCCCATCCACTCGCACCAACCCTTCAAAAGGTAAGGCTTCCGCGTAGTGCATCCGGACAATTAACCATGGACCCTCTTTGACTAACCCATATCCCGAACTTTAGAGAACTAGAGTCATGGTTAGGTTGCGAACTCATTGCATCATATTGTGCCTACTTGCCTAATTATGCATTATTTGCTGTGCATACTCTATGTGTTTTTCCTAACCGTTTGTTTGACTTGTGTTTAAGACTAAATAAAATGATTAATGACTAAAAAGACTTTGCCTAATTAATTATTTATTTATTTTGAGTTATTAAAGTCTAATAATTTAATCTGAATTGACTTAGTATGACTTTAGGCATGTCCCGTAGAGTAATAATACCGAAAGCAGTCCCAAATTAACGTTCCAGCAATGGCGCCACAATTTGGACTGCAGCGACACACTGTGGTGTGCAACGCCTGGCGACAACTCTGTCGTGTAGCTCTGCACTGCAAAGTGTGGCGACAGTTCTGTAACTTTGGCGACAGTTCGGTATTTTGCTTGAGTCATCACTATGAGTCTAAGTAAACAGTTTTCTAATCAATTCGATTAATTGGTTAACAACGGTACCTTTGTTAAGTTCTTAATTGAGTCTAGACACTAAGTCCCATGGTCTTACACAAGAGTCAAAGCATGTCACTTGCACTCACAACGTAAAGCACGCCCTAATATGTATATACTCCGTGACCATGTCTTAGGTTCATGCATGAGTCGATTTTTTTCCGTCATTTGAGTTGGGGGTACATTCTATTGATCCTAATTTTTTTCATATCTCTGTGAAGCAACAACAA